TTGTAAAGCAATATCAGAACTGTTCAGTTGGTGAGCTAAGAACGGCTCTCACTTGGTTTAAGGCTCGCATCAGCTGGGAGAAACTGCACTTCTGACTGGCAGGTGGTGTGTCTCAGACAGCTCTTTTACACGTAAACTTTGCAGAATTACTGAACTCGTCTGCTACAGTTTGAAGGAAGTTTTATAACTAGGCCTCAGTTTAGGTATTCAAACAAAACAAAGCACGCAGGTACAAGTAAGAAGTAAAAATCCTACATCCAGAATCAAAAGACAACTAGTAACACCAAAAATTGCAGATTTTGTGTTAGTTACAACCCACCTTTTAATTTCCAAATGCAACAAACTTCTGTGGCTTGACCTCTTTCCCTAAATACTTGCCCTGCAAACCCACCAACAAGACTCAGAAATTTTCACAATTTTGATGGTTTTTTTAATGATGTAATCAATTCAAAAAGTCTGAGACACTGCTCCCCACCAGTACTATTTTTGAAAGCCACCAAGTTGGGAAAAGGTCATCACTGGTTTTGTGCAGTGAAAAGCTTATACAGCAGGAGCAATGGGAATTGTAATAATCACTACTGGGCAATCAGACTGCAGTACTCTTACCTGCAAACTCTTACTGAAAAAGAAGTTCAACACAAACAAGGACCATTTGTTAACCACTTGATTTGCTGTCTTTGGCTTAACACTTTGTACAGAAGACTTAAATAGCTGCATCATGAAAGCTCCTGATGCTTCCAGAGTATCATCAGTGGCTTTGTCTCCAACAATCACAGGAGGAAGGACACTGGGTAATGTTTCCTTAGATGTTATTGATCACCACAACTTTAGGAGCTCCTTGTTTATGACCATTTACTTTGCAGTTAGTTTTTGGTTTAGTTGCCCTTTTCAGTCTTTGTTCATAAAATCTCTTCATGGAAACAGGCAACTGCAAGTAACCTGCCATTGCCTCCTAGTAACCTGGAACTATATTGGTAACATTCAATTTTGAATGCTTCCACTAAAGATATTAAACCCATGATTTCAGAGATAGTGGATCAAACATTAAAATTTCTGTTAATGTTACTACAAAAATATGAAATTTTATAATATTATTGAAGATACTTGTCCTCATTGTCTCAATTTTTTTACCTTCAAGGAAGTAGAAATATGGGAACTTGATTCTTTTAATCACAGAATTCCAGGATCACAGCAAAACAGACAAACACTTTACCATTCAAAATAAAAATAAAAATCAAGCAGCCTATTCCTATACTGAACTAGTGCCCTAATATGAACAATGGCCTGTTTCAGTGGTGCAGCTTGTGGAACACTGGAATTTGGGGGAAGTGTCATTTACTCACTGAACATTCTGTTCACTCTGTGAACTAGAAGATAATTACCCACACAACCCAATTAAAAGTGTTTGCCTTGTACACTCAAATCTGTAACCCAAGGTTTAGGCTGTGCTAGAGCATAAATAATATGTTTTATGTGTCAACATTCCTATGATTATTGAATAAATAAGGACACTATGGTTTGGGCTCATCAGTAAGTCCCACTAAGTCTGTTATCCAAAAAAGCTCCTGGCTGGGACAAGCACAGTCATTCATGTTCTCCCAACACAAGTTCTCAGCTCAAAGTGTCTCCAACCTTGGCCACTGGCAGAGATGACCAAGAACTCCTTCACAGGATGCTCATACAGCAGCTTGTACTCAAAAATAGATCCTTAAAGGCAAACTTTTCAGCTCAGCCCAAAAGTCAACACATACACACAAAGCCAGGCTGTAAATTAACACAGCCTGGTGAAAACAGACTGATCAAAGGTGCAGGTTTAGTGTCTCAGTTACCTGTAGGATATTGCCATCACTCCTGGCTTAAGAGGGCCAACCAGCTTGCCAAAACTCAGGTGAGGAAGTGACCAGTACCTCCAGTCCAGAGCAGGAAAAGAATTGGCTTCAAACTGCGCAAACTGTTTCAGGAAGGTGAGGGCAGAAATTTATCTCAGCACAGGTCTCTCCATTGGTTTAGACTCAGACTGTACGAGCAACACAACAAACCAATTTCTACAGGGAAAAGACAAAGTTTGTTGCCTTGTAACTCGACTCCAGCCCTCCCAGCACACTGATTTCCAGTGCAGCAGTGTCCCCCAGCGTCTCTAAAAAAAAAAAAAAGATTCCGTGCTGGAATCCTGAGATCCAAGGGCACCCCTGGTGTTCCTAAGGAGGACTTTAACTCTCCTTCATTTCAAGGTTCAGTAACCAGCACATTTCCTCTGCCAGTTTCCCGAATTGATGCCTTTGCCTTAACTGTTTTGCACGTTCTCTAGTGCTCTGACTACTCTTCTGATACAACCCCCTGGGCTTGAGAACTCCCAGCTTTGTATCACATGGAATATGCTGAGTTGGCAAAGACCCACAAGGATCATGGAGTCCAACCCTTAGCCCTGCACAGGACCATCCCCAACAGTCACACCATGGGCCTGAGAGGGTCACAGAACCAGGAACAGTAAACGGCCCAGCACCACTTCCAGCTTCTGAGTTCCAGCTGAGCACGGTCTGTACTGACAAGTTCCCTAAAACCAATCTGAAAGCAGAGGTTTTATTGTGAAAAAACTCACCCGGTGTAGGAATACAAAAACTCCTACAATTAACTGACTCAACAGTCAGGCAATCAAGTGCAACACAGCAGGTATCCCAAGGATTTCCACTCATCCTTCAGTCCTGCCACTGGTAGAGCTCCAACAGGCTCATGTGACTGTATAGTAGAGGTTCTCAGAACACAAGTTTTATTTTCCTCGTTACTTAATAGGTAAAATTTTGAATTGCCTAAACCCAAGCGAAAACTTCCTTAGAAGGGTGATAGTTAAGGAACTTCAACTGAGCAATCTGCACGTGCATTTAAGGCTACCTGCATTATCTATAATCAACAATTACCAGGGACTAAAGATAAAAAGGATAATGCTGCAAGTGGGCTTAACTCCACTCCCAAGTTGCAAGTTGAAAAGACTCCTTTACAGCAGGATGAGCATTCCTGGCTACATCAGACCTGAATTTTTCTGGACTTGAGAGTAGCCCTGAAGATTAAAGCTCCCAGCAGTTGTACCAGACTTTAACAGCTATTTCACCTTTCCAGTTGTTCCGTAGGAATTCATGCTAAGGGCAGTCCCTGTGTTAAGCAGGTGAGTTGTAAAAATAACACCACATACACACTATGAAACAATAAAAATGTAACTTCAGTGCTGCTGGTTTTTCTTCTTAAAGCATATCAATGCTGAGGCACTACCGAAGTTTTCTATTTTGTGTTTTTAAGCAGTACATTTCCAGAAGTGAGACAGCTTGAAGACAAAAAAAGCTACCACACCTAGTAAAGCAGCAGCAGCCAAGCCAGCAGGATTAACCAAGATATGCACAGGTAATTAGTAACACTACAGGCAAGAACCTACAACATGAAGTTAAAGCAAGATGATGCAGCAATTCAGCAAAACATTGAATCTTTGTCCCTTTACAAACACCACATGTACAACATTCCTCATTTTCATCAACAATGAGGTTCAGGTCCTAAACACACACAACTCAGCTTCTGACTGACTAGCTAAAAAAAAAAACCAAAAAAAACCCCACCAAAACCAAAGAACAAGTCCAAACCCACAGAACTCCACCTTGAACTAACTTAAAAAGATTCCTTTCCAGCAGTGTTGCACAAGTAATAACTGCAGTCCACACTTTTTGCTACCAGGTTGCAAAAGTTAAATATTCAAGTAAGAGTTATGTACACAAACATGCAAGTTAAAAGGAATAAATGAAATGCTCCACTTTATTAAGAAACCAAAAATACAAAACTGAAGAGTTCAAGGCTTCATGTACTCAAACACTACTGAAAAAATGGTAACTTAGTCTTGTTTACTAGCAGTACTAATATTGACCAAGATTCATGTCTACAAGGTAGTGTTAAAAGTTGACATTTTCCACCATTTGTGCTGTAATAAGCCAGTTTCAAATTAAGAACTTGGTGCAGTTACAGTAAAGTCTAGATATTTAAATCAACATGGCTTTAGTTAATACAGTTTTGTAGGCAAGAGCTTTTTAGCTCAAACCACGGTTGTTTTCTAGTTAGTGAATTTTAAGATGCTTAGAGTTTGTTTAGCCAGCTATAGCTCTACTGAATGATGTTCCATGCAAAAACACAGCTTAAGTCACCTAAGAGACCCGGATGCCATTTGCTTCTGGCTGCCAAAAATACAGAGCTCTGAAGGTAGCTTGTAGAACATAGTAACAGTGAGAGTTGAGACTGTATCTAATTGTAGCACATTCAAGCTGAACCACACACTTTGCTCTCGAGACACCCTGCAGACCACGGACATTCCCATTTGCTGGGAATGCTGATCCAGTCACACCAGACAAGTGCTCACTGCTTTAGTTTTGCCTGGCAGTTAGTTCAGCTTTCCTCAGATGCTTCAGTTATATGCATCAAGAAATAAAGGAAAGGTTAACTGTTAGCTCTGATTTAGCAAGAGGAGCATAATACAAGAAGCAGGAAGGAAAACAGAGACTGAGAAATGCAGTAGACAACCAAGTATTAGCCTCAACTGAAGAACAGAAGACACTTTGAAAGAGTTTTCCTAACAATGCATGAAAGTTCACTTGCTTAGAGATACTTGAAATACAACTTTATTATCTAAACAAAAAAGAATGGGAATGACAGAAACAGGATTTTCCACTTAACACTCTGATGTGACTGCAGCAGTCTTATATTTGAAACTCAAAAGGGGAAGTAATTGCAGTCCATAAAACAGCTAAATATGCAGGTCCAAAATATGAAGTTTGTTTTGGGTTTTTTTTTCATTTTTGTTTTTTTTTTTTTTTTTTTTTTTTTTTTTTAAACTGCCACATTCACTCCGAAGCCCATTCATCTCTTTCAGCATCCCAAAGATTAAGCACATGTTCTGCTCAGCTAGATAATAAAGTGGCAAACACGCTGCACCACTGACATCACAGGACAGTTGCCTATAAAACTAGACTTCTGACGCTGGGCTCCAGCTTCATCCCTCACAGGTCATCATCTTCATCTGGCAGTGCAGTGGTCTGAGCAATCTGGAACAAAGAGAAGTTACACTTAAGAACTATTCTTCAGTTCTTTGCCCCGGGAGTCTGAACACCAGTTATCAGGCAACAGTTCTACCTCTGTGCCCTTTCTCACTGACCTGTAAGTCTTGCTCATACTGTGCTGCCAGTGCTGGGTCCATGACAACTTCAGGTGGTGCAAGCGCAGGCATGGCCACAAACTCCAAGTTAGGATCTCCAATTAGCTTTCTAGCAAGCCACAGGAAAGGCTTCTCAAAGTTGTAGTTACTCTTAGCTGAAATGTCATAATACTGAAAAAAGGACACATTATACATTATTAAGAAACCCCTCTGACTAATACTTAGGCCATACCAAGATTAACACACACATAGTCAACTCTACTTTTACCTTACTTTTTTTGACTGCATGACTTCTGTTTGCACTTCCATAAACAGTATGATCTAAGTGTCTAGAAACAGTTTCAGGCAGAAACTGGTAACTAAAAGGCATTGCATCTTTTAAAAGATGGAACCTTCAGGAGGCAATAGTGCCTCTATCTTTTTCCTGTGACTTGATCTACTTCAGTCTCCCTTCTGTCATCAGATGAGATTCTGAGCAGTGAAAGCCAATTGCACACAAGCTCTTTAAGAACATCACAGCTCCTGCTCAAGGCCAGTGATGATCATCTTTAACACCATCATTTCCCCTTTTCCTGAGGTTTGGTTCAAACAGCCAAGAGATGTGAAGCTGCCTGTAGTGACAAAGGCAGAGCACTCGATTACTCTCTAGAACCCAACTGCACTCAACAGACCCAACCAATCTGGTTCCTACAAACTCATACCAACTTACCTGGAGATTCTTCTTCCTATGGAAGACAATGGATTTTGCCTTGACTTTTCTGTCCTTAATATCCACTTTGTTGCCACACAACACTATAGGGATATTTTCACATACTCGTACCAGATCTCTGTGCCAATTAGGTACATTCTTGTAAGTAACTCTTGATGTTACATCAAACATTATGATGGCACACTGAGCTGCAAGAGAACAACAGTCCGGTTACATCAGGAGCGATCACTCTGTCACGACGGGACAGAGAAGAGGGATCCTCAGAGATCCCACACTAGGGTTAAGCATCTGCATTATCTTTTCCCTCTCGGTGTCACAGTTCTGACACCCCCTGTTCTGTGAATGAGTTCAATGCACAAGTCCACAGAACTTGGGCCATGACCACGTCACCTCCCGCCCCAGCTGGTTTTACCAACTCGGCCCCACTTCTGAGGTACGTGGTGTTGCATCATAGGAGAATATGTAAGATGACAGAACTTGGATTTACACAAGAAATTAGTCAACACCTATTTCACTAATCTCAGACAACCTAATGAGGCTTTGAGGTAGGTTTGAGAGCTTGTGGTCCACATCTCAGGATGCCCTTGTCCAGAGCAGTTTCTCAAAGAACATGGGGGCTTGACTTCATCCCGATACTTTAAAAGGAAAAGCAATGTCAAACTCTAATAATATCTTATAAAATTTTAAAGATATGCAGGTGAAGTACACATAGGACAAATCTTTGCCAAGCAGAAGTAAGGAATGCTACCATACTTGTTCAGAAAAGTAAATTCTAGCATGACGTTCAGCTTCCTCACTGCATCTAAAAATCTTTCTGTGTTCCAAGTCTTTTCCTTAGCACAGTACAGCAGTACACGTATAAATCTGTACTAAATGAAGTTTCAACTTCAACACTTTCACCTCTTAACCACCACATTTCACCAGCAGTATCTAGTCATTAAAGGTGCACTTTCATTAACACCAAAGCCCACAACAGCACACTGAAACACAATCTTGGCGTGTTCCCACGTTCACTCAAGTTGCCTTTCGAAACAAAAATTATCCTAGTTACATCAAGAGTGTGAAGACTGCTAACCCAGCCCCTCACTGCAAGCCACACTGACAGCTTCCAGACTGGTCCACATGAACAGAATGAAGGAGTGAACTGTAAGAGGGAGAGAATACTCCCACACAAACACACATCTTACCTTGAATGTAATAGCCATCACGCAGGCCACCAAACTTCTCCTGCCCAGCTGTGTCCCATACATTAAATTTAATAGGGCCTCTGTTAGTATGGAACACCAGGGGATGAACTTCAACACCCAGCGTTGCTACGGAAATAACAAAAAGCAGTACACTTAGCAAGTCAGGGACTGCACTTCCATTTGTGACACAGCAGATCTCAAACGTTTCCTTGGACATACCTACATACTTCTTTTCAAATTCACCAGTCAAATGACGTTTTACAAACGTTGTTTTACCAGTGCCACCATCACCAACCAGGACAAGCTGTTGGTAGATAAAGGAAATAAGTCAGAGCAATACACTTTGAGACGTTTATCAGTCATTTTAGCACAAATGCTAATTATTACTACAAGGACCTCAGTACTACACGATCATAAAAAAGAAAAGGTTGAATTTCCCATGAAGCAAATCCCTGAACTGGGAACCAATTTGTTAAGCCCATCATGCTGCAACTCTAATCAGTCTTACTTAGTCCCTGTAGGTGAAAACTACAATGCACTGTTTCCACTAAACTACTAAAAGTGACTAAATGATACTTGGAACTTTCAACTTGAATGTGACCGGATTTAGAGAGGAAACAATTTAAACACCTACTGGAAAAACCCATTGTTACCTTACAATTAAAAAAAAAAGAAAAATAATAAAAACCCACAACAACCCACCAACATCTGCACTACTAACAACTGGAATACTCCAGCCATGCATCGCAGGAAATACAAGTAACAACCTTCATGAAGCTGTCTTCAGAACTTCAGGCTGTTAAGATAACAAAAAAAACCCAACCCACCAGCCACAAAAAACACCAGAAGATGCTCTTCTGGAACATTTTAAGTTTTCTTCCCTGAACAATTAGTACAGAATAGAAAGCAGACTATACTCATTCACCTCAAGCGCTTTTTGTAGTGAACCCTGCTTCTGAAATTTAAAAATCATTGTACAGGCAAAGATTCATTAACATTTATTACACTAAACTACAAAGCCATCAGACTGACACAGCGCAACAGACTCTTTTTGTACAAGCCGAATGCAGTACTACAATGCTACAACGCACCATTAAGGGAAGACCAGCCCTTCAAAACCAAACCTACCGTCCACGTCGGCACTGGAGAGTCGCTCGTTCCACTCCGCTCCTGAAGGCGAAAGAAAGAACCCAGCCCGCCAACCACCCCCTTACCTTAAACTGCACTTGGGGCTCTCCTTGGGCGGCCATGCTGGGTCTGCAGGGGAAATGGCAGCGCGTGAGCTCACCGCGGGCCCGGCCGGAAGGGGCCGTTTCCAGCTCCCAAACCGCCTCCCCGACCCGCGCGCTCCGCGTGCTCCGGGCCCGGCCCCGGGCGGGAAGCGCCTCCCGCCCGCGTGCGGCGGGACCGCGCGCGGCAATGGCGGCGGCGCCTCCCGCCCGCCCGCCCGCCCCCGGCGCCCCGCGGCTCTCGGGCCCCAGCGAGGCGAGGCCGAGCCGCGGCCTCCGAACGGGCGGCTGGGCCACGGCCGGCCCCGGCCCCGGCCCCGCTCCGCGCGGGGAGTCCTCCCAGCACCGGCATCCCGCCCCTCAGCGGGATCTACCGCCCGATCGCGGCGAGTCCTGCGGGGTCCGCCCCGGCCGGGCCGCCCTCCCTCCCGCCCGCACCGGGCGCGCTCCCCGCCATGAGCCACCATGACTGAGCAGCGCCGCCTCCCCCCCACTCGCGCTCGGGCCCGCGGGAGCCCCGCTCGCCTCCCCTCACAGCCCGCCCGCCCTTTTCTCCCGGACGGAGCCGCGGCTCTTCCACCGAGGGGGCGAAAAAGCCGCCGCACGCCGCGAGCGCCGCAACGCTCCCTCAGGTGCAGCCTCCCCGCCACCCGGCCCATCCCCACCGCGGGCTAACGGCGGCCACCCCTCCGCCTCCCACCCCGGCGGCGGCGCTTCTGGGAGCGGCCGCACTCGCCCCTGTGCCCGCGGGAGCGGGGCCCGGCGGTCCCGGGGCCGGTACCTCTCCCGAGGCGTCTCCCCCCGTCCGTCGCTCCGTGCCCGGCACAGGGAAAATGGCGGAAGCGCCGTTCAAATACCCGGACGGCGACGCCGCGCGGCCGCGGGAGGGGGCGGGGCCGCGCGTCACGTGGTGCGCGGCGCGCGGGAGGGAGGGAGAGAAGGAGGGGAAGGGCCGCGGCCATGAGGGAGCGAGGGGGGCTCGGAGCGGCGGAGTCACCGTTTGAGAGCATCCAGCCCCACCGGCCGCCCCGCACCGCCGCTGGAACCCCTAAAACACTAAACCACGTCACCCAGCGCCGCATCCACGAACAGCTCCGGGGATGGGCGACCCCACCAGCTCTCTGGGCAGCCCAATGTCTGACTACCAGTTCCAATGTATGACTGTCCGAACAGTATTTTTTCTAATTTTTTTCTAATTTATGTTCTTAGTTTTTTTGTTTCTCCAATATATAATTGAATTTTTTCTAATATTAAATCCGAATCTCTCCCCTCTCAGCCTGAGGCCATTTCCTCTTGTCCTCTTATGTGCTTGATCTGGAAACCTTCCCACTGCTACCGAGTGAAGCTGTGATGAGAGAGCACAACTTTTTAAAGAATCCACCAAGCCCATGGTCCATATTCCAGCAGGTTTTGTGAGCCTCTCCTCTATAAAACCAAACACACTGTACTTGGCATCAAGTACGACAGGGAACACAGGACACAGCAATGTATCAGGAGGGAGGCGGAAAAGGGAACGGTAGAAGAGACGGACACCTCACTACGACCCCCTTTCACAAGTTGTAGAGAGTGATAAAGTCCCCCCTGAGCTTCCTCCAGATTAAACAAACCCAGCTACCTCAGCTGTTCATCACAAAACAAGTTTTCTAGACCTTCCACAAGCCTTGCTGCCCTTTGCTGGACATGCTCCAGCTCCTGAGTCCTTTTTAAGGTGAGGGGCCCAAAACTGGACACAGCACTTGAAGTGCATCTCCGGAGGTCCCTCCCCATCCTCCAGAGGGATGCAGCCCGTAGGACACATGGAACAGTTCCTTGGCAGCTCCTCCCTGGGCAGCAGGGCAGCCCCTGGCTGTGAGGGCACCCCAAGCATCCTGGGGAGGTTTGAGGCTGAGCTGCTCAGGGAACCCAGAGGCCTCCCTGTTTAATCATCAAAATCACACCAGGAGGCGTTTCACTCAGCTGGTGATGCGCTCTCTGCAGACAAAGTTAAAATATGACATGTAGTTACTTAAAAAAACTACTAAACTGCCTCCAGTGTGGTTTAATAAAGTGGTTTTCAACAGTGGGAGAGTTTAATTGAAGAACTTTCAGGTAAAAAGGGCTGCGGTCAAACAGGCTTTCCTTGAATGCACCTTGTGACCATTATTTTCCATTCTTCACATAAACTGATATGCTTTCACTTGAGAGGACACAAATGAAAGCAAAAGTTGTTCTGTAAGCCCTGGATTTAGAGTAGTTCTCTAAGCTCTCAAAACTCTCTTCAAACTTCAGTGGAACAAAGTTGTTTGAAAACTGACTTTCAAAGAACATCGCAGTTTTGCATATGTCTATAAATACCAAGTTCATGGGTTCACACTGATTTTTAAGGTCTCTGATTTTTTTAATCCAGTATTCTTAAATTACTTTTATGCAGCCTGCATAACATCTGTTGGTGCCCCCCCAATCTAGAATAAATATTTTTTTTACCCATCTCTGAATGGAATTAACGTAGAAAATATTTCATGACAGGTGATATATACAAACATAGCTTATTTCTTGTTATTTTTCTACAGACATAGACACAAAATACAAACAAAGTTTTACAAGAGTGGCTGAACTGTGCTGTAACTTTTGCTTTATTTGATAGTGTAATGCCTAGCCAAGTGTTGCATAAGATTTTCTTGGAAAAATCACTAGTATGTTGAATTTGCCTTCCCTTTTTGGGATGAGTTGGGTTTGTGTGTGTGGTTTTTAGCATTTTTGCTGAGCGCCTCTAGGTGTCAGGATTATTTTCTCAGAATATGTAACTCATCTTAAATTTCTCTCAGCACAATGGTTTCCTTATAAAACCCTTGTGAATTCCACCTCTCTTCCTGACAAATAGGCATGTGTTCATAAATAGGAGCCCATAGAGCCACATTAGTGGAGTTTGGCAGATTTAAGGAATACAAACACAGAGGGGAAAAAAGCAATCTGTAACTGAGTACAGAACACTCACTGTACTTCAGGACTTTCTCAATATTGTTACAAATTTATTAGTGAACTACTTTTTCCCTGCAAACTATCTAATACTTTAATTTAGAATAATTTAAAAGTTCCCCATGACAGCATTTGAGCTCCTGGCAAATACTTATTTCATTGTCACAAAGATACATTACTATGTGGAATCTAGTTTTTATCATGTTTTATCATCACATATAAGTAAGTGTTCATTTCCAGGCACTCATCAGCAGTTAGATCACTATCTAAAAGCTTAGAGCCCATGAGATCAGTAGGTAATCAGCACAATAATTACTCTTAAAAGGTCTTTACATTTCCTATATCTTGACTCAGGTCAACTGTGAACAAACTCAGCAACTGTGACACAAGTAAACATACAAAGTAAAAAGCAGCAGGTACCAAGTGTTTGAAGGTGCGGATGGGGAATGGTACAAAAAAAAGGTGGTACTGGGGATAAACACTCACAGAGCTGAGCAGCATATTGGAAGAAAACTGCTGCATTAGCAGGAAAGAAAACAATTTTTGAACTGTAAATGAAGGAAACAACATATGAAAAGGAGCATAATTGTACTTCCCTGTTAAAGCAGTGATTGCGGAAATGCCCCTGGAATCCAAGCTCCGGCAGGAACAGAGGTTCCACACACTTGGGGTTCAAGGCAACACAGGAAATTGCTCTAAGGAAATAGGCCATTTTCAGTATAGATAGGTAAAATGGGTCACACAGCAGCAAGATTCAATCAAAATATGTATTCAAAAGACAAGCTTTAGTCATTTTTTTTACCAAGTAAAATATGTTTGACTCTGGGTTTCATTAAGAAACTACACTCTCAGAAAATAAGCATTTACTAGGGCAATGATGAAAGACATATGGAGATCTAATTTTTTTTCAGAAAACAAAATTTCAGCATTTTACTGTCATTTAAACAGCTTGCATTGCTAATTCGGTATCTTTAAATTCCTTATCCAGCACTGGAATGAAATGCTTTAAATACATGAGGAAAATTATGCATGGATTATGCTCAGTTTCCAAAAGTAACACTTTTAGAATTTGTTGAATGTGTAGTCTAGAAGATAAAGTCTATATATCACAGAAGCCCAGAATGGGTCAGGTTAGAAGGGACCAATGTGTCAACTGGTCCAACCTCTCTGCTCAAGCAGGGTCATCCCAGAGCACGTGGCACAGGATTGTGTCCAGACAGTTCTGGAATATCTTCAGTGGGGGAGACTCCACAGCCTCTCTGGGCCATCTGTTCAGTGTGTGGTCACTGCACAGTAAATAAGTTCTTCCTCAAATTCAGATGGAATTTCCTGTGCATCAGTTTGTGCCCGTTGCCTCTCGTCCCACTGCTGGGCACCCCCAAGCAAAGCCTGGTCCATCCTCTGCCCCCTCTCTGCAGACACTGACAGACATGGGTGAGGTCCCCTCTCAGTGTCTCCTCTCGAGGCTGAACAGCCCCAGCTCCCTCAGCCTTTCCTCGTCACAGAGATGCTTCAGTCCCTTCATCCCCTCTGTAGCCTCCTCTGGGGGGGCACCCATGGCACCGTTCAGACCCCTGAGCTCTCCCACATTGAGGATTCATCTCTCCTCATATACATCCACGGAATCACGGAACAGTTTGAGTTGGAAGGGTCCTCTGGGGCAGGTGACATCGCAACGTGTCCAGCTGGGGTTTGAGTATCACCAGAGCAGGAGACTCCTCGCCCTCCCTGGGCAGCCTGTTGCAGTGCTCTGCCACATCTCTGTGGCAGAATCAACAGAATCAACCAGGTCGGAAAAGACCTCTGAGGTCATCGAGTCCAACCTTTGAGCCAGCACCACCTTGTCAACTGGACCATGGCACTGAGTGCCACATCCAGTCTCTTCTTAAACACCTCCAGGGACCATGGACGGTGACTCCACCCTGGTCAGCCCACTCCAATGTCTGATCACTCTCTCTTTGAAGAACTTCTTCCAACCTAAACCTCCCCTCACACAGACTGTGCCCTCTTGTCCTACTGCTGGTTCCCTGGGAGCAGAGCCCGATCCCCATCCCGACTCCCCCTGTCAGGGAGTTGTACAGAGTGAGGTCCCCCCCGAGCCTCCTCCTCTCCAGGCTGAGCCCCCCCAGCTCCCTCAGCCGCCTCTCGCAGCACCTGTGCTCCAGTCCCCTCACCAGCCTCGTCGCCCTTCTCTGGACACGCTCCAGCCCCTCAACATCCTCCCTGAACTGAGGGCCCCACAACTGGACACGAGGTGCGGGGCTCAGCCGCACCCTCCGCCCCGCCCCGTGCCCGGTGCCCGCTCCCGCCGCGCCCGCCCGCGCCAGGCGGTGCCCGCAGGGAATGGTTGCCGCGCCCGCCCGCACGGGGCGCGGTGCCGCCTCTTCCCCGCATGCGCGGGCCGGGGCGGGGCGGGCGCAGCGCTGAGGGGGCGGTGGCGGCGGCCGGCGCGGGGCGGGCGGGGGGAACGGGGCGGCCCCGGGCACGGCGGGAGCGGCCCCAGGAACCCCAAGAGCCGCGGGGATGAAGGACCGGCTGGCGGACCTGGCAGAGGTGCGGAGAGGGCAGCGCGGGGAGGGTTTCGGGGGAGGGGGGCGCCGCAGTGGCCGCCCGAGGTAACGGGCAGGGCGGGGAGGGCTTTGCACGATCCGGCGGTCCCTGTGGGCTGGGAGGGCCCCGGCTGCCTCCGCCATCCCTTCTCCGGTTGTTTTTACAGCCCCCCGGCGGATAAACCCCGCGGTCACCTTGCCCTCGGGCCGCGGGGTGGGTTTGTCCCCCCGGGAGCTGCTCGGCCCTGGTGCGTCAGTGCAGCTCTCGGCAGCGTTTATTTTCCGCGTGTTTACAAAATGGTAGCTGGCCGTGTTTATACGCGCTTTTCCTTTCCCTTATTTGTGCTTTGGAAACAGTATCCTAAAAAAAGAAGGGAGAGTTGAGTGTGAC